CTGTTTACATACACAATTCAATTTCCTGAGCGTATTAATATGTAGACATCATTATCATCTACTACTTGTCGTTTGGTGATAGTGATGGCGGTTGTTATTATTATAAATTATTGAACGCTCGAGGCCAACACAACGGAACTGAACACACTCGACATCATATTATGAACACATCGTTGAATTTTTCTTTCAACAACAAAAAAGAAAGAAATTTTATGCATTTTTGATTTAGAAGAGAGAGATTATTTTCTGTCTTCTTCGTTCTATTGAACTTTTATGCATGTTGAATGTGCGTGTGGTCTATGAAAAGACAATTTTGTGTGTGTACATGTATAGACTGAAGGTAAAGTTCATTCGAATATCGTTAGTTAATTGTTACACTTTATAATATACTAGACAAGATGATAAACGTTGTTCAGATGTCTTTGTGTCGTGCGTCAAGGTAATATATACAATAATTAAAATAGAACAGTTAATTTTTACCCAATTTGACATTGAATGAAAAGTCTATTGCCAATGAGTTGTTTGAAAACTGCTTATTTCTTCTCTCAGTTGCATCTTCAATTTTTCTTAGCAAAGATGATACTTCTTTCCAGTATTTAAATCCTAATAAAGAGAAAATAGGTCGCTTTTTTCTCTAGTAGCACTGAATGACGTCTTTAACGTTATTGATGATACAAATGTCATTTAGTAAAACAATAGCATTTCAGGTGAAAAATTCTTCTATTGTTCATAATATTGTCCATTTTGTAGGTAATATGCTCTGTATATCGGTAATCGAATATGATTCTACAGATAATCAGATGGAATGTTGATATGACATTATCAATTAATATGTCATCTAGATAAAATCATTAAAAATTACTATTATTCTCTCTGTACTTAGACTCGCGGTTGTCATATAAAGAACTCGCATATTGACAGTTTGAACACTCAGTTATTCAGAGAGAGAAAAGTCGTCATTGTCAATCATTAATGTATGAGAGTGTGTGCAATGTCTCATGAGAATATATGTTGTGTTGTTGCATGTTGCTAGATTATCATTATTATTAGAGAACCTATATTGAAATAACGAACGGAAGAAATGTTTTCTAAAATATGATGAAAATGACACTAATCAGGATATAGAGAGCGAAAAAGAAAAGAAAAGTCTATATATCTCCTTCGAATTGACACTGGAGATTATTTTACAAATCAAATCAGCATTTTTTTTCCTCTCTCTAAGTAGTAGTAATAATAGAGCCCATCCGTAATTTTCTTTTTTTTGTCGATTTAGTCAAGTGATATTATAAGCAGAGTTTTTTTTTTTTCTTCTTTTCCTTTAAGTCTATATAATTTAACCGAAAAAGCAAACCTATAATATTTTTTTTCTATATTACATTGACCCGAAGGTATTAAAGTAGTAGTCAAAATTCACACATATACATACAGTTAGTACACACACACACACACATAATTCTTTTGTGTGTGTGCTTCGAAGAAGAAAAATAGTGTACACAGCAATTATACGTGCATTAGGTCAAGTACACGATTATTGTTAGAACAACAACACCGACGTCGAACAGGTGATAAAAGTGACCCAAATTATTAGATTTTTATATGACATACAACTTTTTTTGTTTGTTTGTGTGTGTGTGTGTGTGTGTGTGTGCGCCCTGCCAGTGACATATTTGATCGATTTATCTTTGAATGATTGTCGAGCACATATATGTCGTAATATCTATTTGAAAAACAGAACACATCAAAGAGAGTAGTGTATTACTAGAAGTAATATCGATCGTTCACTTTTTCCAACGGTATGGACGCTCAAACTGAAAATATCATGACGGCAAGATCGAATAGAACAAATTGCAATATATTTAAAATTTCCGTAGGATTGTGCAATAGAGTGAAAAAAATTCTTTATGTGTTAATATGTATGTCTTTTTGACTCAACCTTGAAGGAGAATGACTCATAACAGAAGTTTTTGAAAAGGAGATTCGAGAACAAAATGGCTCTCAAAATTAACTTATTGATCGAGCACATCGAATGGTGTTAATGTTCTTTTCTTTTCATTTTTCAAAGTTTTTTTCGCTTAAATCGAGAAAGATCTTGCTACCGTCAAATTTTCTATTTGAGTGCAAATCAAAAGGAGAAGTATCCGAATAATTATACTAACAATATTAATTTAATCTTGCATCATATCAACTAGTTTTATGTTGTTAGATACACATGATTTAACGTGTTATATAGTATAGAGACTAGAATATTTTACTTGTTTACATATTCTTAAAAATCAAGCCGCGAAATTTTTTTCTAATTTTTATGCGACAAATTACGATGTAACAATCGCCTCCTCGTGAGCCTTAAAAGTGATATAATAGTCATATATTAAGATGTTAGAGTTGTTACATGACAAGCATCATGTCTATGTGTATATATACATATATATTGTGGCTAATTGATATCTAAACGAGATTATATGGTTACCAAAACATATGTCTTAGATTACTTGCTTCTTTTTGTCTTTCGTTCTTCATAGAGCAATCACAGATCAAGTATACATCCAGAGAAGTCCCTCCCATAGAGTTTCCATTTGGAGTCATGTTTCTTTATTAAAACATTATAATGAAATCTGAGCACTATGTACGGTGCAAACTGAAAATTATTCATATTACACTTATCAATGTCTCTATTGATTATATATCATATTCAACTTTCTAACATGACACTAAGTAAAATTCTAAAGGGACTTATTTGCTGTTTGAAGCAGTCAAAGTACAGAAACAGACATTATTTTTATGAATCATACTTAATTGCATTATCATTATAGATGCTGCTCTGTTTTTTGAGATTCAGAGCAGCATTGAGTTTTAGTTAAAAAACAGAAAATTTGTTAAAAAACTAGATATTTCAGAATGACCTTCATCACCCAATACAAATGTTTCTCTCTGTTTTATCGCTATAATCGCATTTTTCTCGTTTTTTTATTACCATAATTCATTTCTCCTCGTTTCTCCCATTGTACATAATTCTATGATAGATTTCCTGTGAGAGAGCAATGAACTATTTTTTTTATTCTCATCCGATTGCACAACTTGCGTGTGCATTATTTCAAGCTGTTTAGTTGAATTAGCCTTTTCTTCTTATTCTTCGATGGAAAACATGAACTTTTGACAGTTTTCTTTTTCATTTCACTCTATGAGTTTTTCCGTCATTATACACATAGCGTGATTATTAATTTGTTAGACGAGATGTTTGTCTATAGATAGACTTTTTTTTTCTTTTTATTTCTACACTGCTATCATCGTGATGTTGGCTTCTCTCTGCGTGTATGTTTGTTGTTCTCAGCTCATCAGGACAAGATTAGGTTTGTAATTGATTTTCATGATTTATGAATCGACTAGAGTGTCAAGAAATTGTTGTATTTGTATATATCTATGTATGTGTGTGTGTGCTACTCAATAAAGACCTTCTTTAATTTTTTGTACATTTTACGATGATTTGTTTTCTTTTCGAAGAAAAAGAAGAAAAGAATTCACACATACACACATACACACCATTATTCCAATGTGTATTACACAGTCTATTACTTCCTCTCTACACTCTATTAGTATGACTACTCTAAGATACATTTTGATCGTTCCTGCTGAGAACATGAAGAAGTCGATTATAGTTCGTTTAAGTCCCATTTATTATTTGTGCATTTCTCTATAAAAAGGAAATAGTAGCAGAGATCTGAGCGACAATAAACAATGCCTCTTAAGGTAAAAGAAAAAGCCAAGAAACACCGTGTATAAACGCACATTTTCTTGCTCAACAAGAATATTTTTTGAACATTATAGAAAAATATGCTTTAAGTTTTCATAATAATAGACTCTTATTCAAAATTTCGCTTTCCTCGCATTTTAGTTTCTGTGGAAGTATTGGCGCTTTCATCTGTTGGTTGATCATAAAGAAAATTGAATTAAATAAAGGGTTTTAATCGACTAAAAAAAAGGCACTTTTATCTATAAGAAATTTTAATAATACAGTTGTTCACACTTTTATTCTGAATGTCTAGCGGTGTTTGATTCTCAAAAGCAAAAATAACGGTGTCCTAATTGATGCGTTTTTTTCGAAATTAAGTGATCCATATTAAGTATAGCTGAGTAAAGTAGATTCTAGATGTTTTTTTGCTGGCAGGTTGTCGATCTATTACTAAAATTTTAGTTGAGCCTAAAGGGACTTTTGTGTTTGAATGGGGGTGCATACTTCTTCTTAAACAACGTTGTGTATGTAAATACATGTGTTTAGTTATTTTGTGCTTGTTTTTAGACTTATAGTTTCGTTTTTTTCTCTTTCGTTAGTGTGGTAAATATATAGATTTGAAACTATTGTCCCGACATTCAACAGAGAGGTATTTAATTGATTTATTTGTGAGTGTGTGATTGTCGTATTGTTTTATCAAATATATAAAAACAGATGCCTAATTTACAATAAATTTCACACATTTTCTTTTTTTTTTGCGTGCTGTATTTAATAGACAAGTTATATATGTAATGGTGGTGGTATTAATTTGATATCACCACACACAGTTGGACACTATGCTTTCTCTTTCTCTCACCTAGTTGTGTGAAGCATATATATACACACACATATATATATATATATGTTTGTTTTATGAGAAAGAGTATAGATACTGTACATAATAGTAGTCGTTAATAAACACACTGATATTATAGAAGAAAAAAAGGTGACATACTCGTATTCTTTCTTTTTCTTTTGTCACACAGTTTAAGCCATTTAAGTAATCAGTTATTGACAGTATATGATCGTATGTACATCTTAGATGGAAGAGAAATGACAATGTAATAAATGATATAGAGCGATAGATGAGAGGTATGTGTAGTAGGGTGTAGTGAGTGTATTAAACATACATAAAGAAAATATGTCTATCTGATTTAAAGACAACACCTGTTTGTTACAAGTAAACATCAATCAGTTTAAACTATCTACATGAATATCTAACTGATATGAGGATATGACAAAGGTAAGAAAACTACGTAGCTTGTTTTAAATTATAATAGAAATCGAGTAACTGGTAGTTTAATATTAATGTTGATTTATCTGTCATGTATTTAACATTCACATCACGTTTAGGGAAATATTTTTTTCACAGTTACTTCTTATTGAACTTTCGATCAATAAGCGATCCATGATAGTGAGACTAATTTTTATGATTAAAACACATATCACTATAGTGCTGTCATCTATATAGTATCATACAGTATAAATTTATTTATATAACAAGTTTCTTTCTGTAAATTATCAACTCGCTAGAATCGTGCAAAAGACAAGGTATAAACTAAGATAAATGTAAAGAGAGTTTTTACACATTTAAGTACTTTTCTCGTTGTTATTCAAGTGTGTAGATTTTCTTTCGTTTTTCTTCTTTTTATATCGTATATTTATTGCATATACACAAAGTGTCCTTTCTAACTCACTCTTCTTCTTGTTCTTCATCGTGTGTTTTTAATCATTTATAATATGTTTTTCAAGTGCTGCTCAACTTCAACTACTATACACAATCTATAATAAAAATATTAAAGATCGGAAAAGAAGTGGCACTTGTGTATGTCAAGAAGACACATAAAATAAGCAGAAATACTTGAACCTTTCGTTGTGGTAGAATGAAGAAAAAAGACGAAAAAATTGCTGCTAAACAGCATTCACACACACACAGTGCCTGAGAACGTATAGAAAAGCGATTATGTACACGTACGTGTGCTGCGTACTCGAATGAATAGAAAAATGAAACAAGAGAAGAGAGATGTATGTCTGTAAGGCAAATAAAAATTTAACAATTATAAATTATGTGATTTTTGAAAATCAGTTATATCGGCGTTAAAACATATCTGGGCATTAGACTAGTAATAGTTTAGCGTGTTCTTGACAAGTCAAGCAGAAAAATTGATCATGGAATTACAATGTATTATGAAAAATATTACCAGTCCTATGTTTAATAGCTTTAATCTAGCCTTTTTAACCTTCAAAATATGAATATTCTAGAGAATACAAAAGTTTTGTGGTTCAGAACACTAGAGCAAGTTATAGTTCTATATTATAGCTGATTGTGGCTACTTCAAACGTTTTAGCTGTAAAATGGGTATCAAGATTCAATTTACTTCTATATTTATCTGTTTCATCACAACTGTCGTATATCAAAAATATTAATAGTAATAATAATAATTTTTGATGATTGAATGCATCTATTCAGGTGATATATTCTTATCTGTGTGTGTGTGTGTATCTCTCTCCTTTATTCAGTTATACGAAGGTACGGATTTTTATCAATTATATTCTATCGAAATTATACTTGTGCTTGTGTTGTTTTCTTTCATATTTGGTTTAAATGAAATATTACTCTTTTTTATCTATTTCCAGATTATCATCGGCAATTATTTATTATTGACAACAGACACAAAATCATTTTTTCTATTCAACATTAAAAATAGATATAATTGAGTAAGTGTAGTTATTCAGTAAAAGAAATGAGTAGACGATAAAAAATCAATCTGATACTTTTCATTTTAGTATGACATAATGTTTGCTCCACCACAACTTGGTTCAACTCTACCAGCACCTAGTCTTATTCCATTAAATTTAGAGTCAACATTACCCAGTTTCAGTACGTATCATATCACTACTGCAGATTAATCCGGTGTTTAATAGCATAGACTAGTCTGAAAGTTAGAAAAGATCAGCTGATTAAATTCGACCTTGAAATGAGTGTATCAATAATTTCCTATAGATATTTCATTATTTTCTTCTTTTCCAGAAGAATCAACTTATCGTAATAGTAAATTATCATCTACAACCTCCTCGTCGAAAAAACCTACACCAAGTACGTTAACATGTTGTTTTTTTAAATTAAACATCTCCCAATTGTTATTTTGTTGAAAGATTTTTCTGTAGATCCCGATTTGTTACGTGAATTAAACGCACGCTATTTACACGATATTAATATCCAACGTGCTGCTGCAGTTGCAGCCTGCAATGATTCTCAAGCATCATTATTAGTTGGTTCATCGACGTATCTTCGTGCTGAACATTATCATCAACATACACATACTCATGAACATAATTTAAATATCCTTGCACCAGCTTCGAATAGTGTATCAACGTCTTCGACATCAGCCGCCGCCACAACATCGACAACGACAGCCTCAAACATTAACCCATTGCTTGATAAATTATCAAAACCAGATGGTTTATCTCCCTTTCTTCGCACAAGCGTAAATGTATGTATAAAATATACGATTCTCCCCAGCCATATAGATTTGTGCACAGTTATGATATTCCTTGTCTATTCTTAGCTATCGTCTTCATCGTCAATGACGCCGACTTTAACAACGTTTCCAAGTACTTTAACTCCATTCAGTTTCACTAACAACAACAACAGTAGTAGTCCTACGGCAGTATCAACGGGCTCATCATCAAAAGATTTATCTTCTCCAATGCCATTAACAACTTCCAAAGTACATATTCAAAGTAGTCTTTTATTTCTAGAAGTTTAATGTTATTTTGATTTTTAGAAGCCTGGTAAATGGTGTGCAGCGCATGTTCGAATATCTTGGCTCATTTACCATCATCAACAACGTACAAAATCATCTGACAAAGATGATACAGCAGTTAAAAATAGCTCACTACTACCAGATTTGTTATCATCAACAACAAAGGGCGAACAACAAAATACATCGTCTTCAAATCCTTATCAATCATTACTACCACCGTTGCCTTCACCTGTCACACCATCTTTATTCAGTGAGCTCCTTTTAGCATATGAATATTCTTGATTATCATATCTAAATGCGCTCAGACGCGTATTTTGGCAAATTGTTTTTGTAAAACTATAGTCTTAGTACGAGTAGAGAGTATACCTTCGTGTGAAAGTTACAAAAAAACATAATTACTTATAAATTTACCTTATTCTTTTAGATTATCGTCCATTCGATTTAGCTACATTACCAAACAGTTTTCCACCTCCAACTCCCCTGGGTATGCCATTTCCCGGTCGAGCAAGCGGTCCAAATGCGTTTGGAGGTCTTGGATCGTTATTTCCTGACAGAAAAGATAATTCGTTAGCTACAGCAGCCGCATTTGGACTTGACTGGACACGTTTTCATCGAGGTTTAGGACCGTTAATGCCACCGTATTCAAATAAACCCCTAGACCTCCTGGATCCTTCATCAATTTTAGGAAAGAAAATGGAAGACGAAAGGTAGGTTCTTGAACCGTCGGACTCAGATAACTAATTGTGTTTCATTTAAATGCTGGCTTTTTTAGAAAACGCCAAGAAGATGACCGCGAGCGTGATCGTTGTATATTAGAACGTGAACGTGAACGTGAACGTGAACGTGAACGTGAACGAGCGAATCGTTTATCTTTGAATAATTCTACATCGGACCGTCATGATGTTCGTGATCGTGTAGTGGATCGTTTACATCATCCACACTTGTCCTATCTACCATCGCATTTAACGAATAATTCGACATCGATGTCAAATCGATCACGTTCTCGTTCTCCGCATCACAATCAAAATCACAAAGATCAATACAAAACAACATC